TTGTAGACTGGCGTCACATTGGCAAGCCTCAGCCTTCGTGACAATGTTCCCACACACATCCAATAAAGGATGGAGATTTTCCTTGGCTCTCTTTTTGTTGTTAATATATTTGTGAAAACATTTTTTGTTACTCCTTACTACCGTGGCCAGATTGAGCTACCTGGGCTTTCCTCTTTCTAATTTTGTCTCTGCTTGACCTAATGATATCCTTGTACTCTTTTTGAGTTGCTTTCCCCTTCTTCCAAAGGTGATAAACTCTCCTTTTTTCCCTGAGTCCCAGCAAAAGCTCCCTGTTCAACCAGGCCGGTCGTCTTCTCTGCCAGCTTGTGTTGTGGCACATGGGGACCACCTGCTCCTGCACGTTGTAAGATTTCCTTCTTGAAGAATGTGCTCAGTGTCACTTCAGACATAAGGAATAAATTTTACATCTGCATATTACTTCAACCTTTCTTGGGTTAAACTGCTTCATGGCAAAAGCAGAATGTTTCATGCCAGGTTGTGCTGAGTCCTTTTACTTTAACAGTGAAAGCTGTAACAAGTGGCAAGCCCCTTTAATTACAAAAAGTGAAGGATCATCTTTACATCCACTGGCTTTAAGTCATTTAACATAACTTTTAAATATTTCAGTCACTCAAAAGATAAAATTACCACTTAAGTGATATTCTATGAATTTATATTTTCTTCCTTGAGGGACTTGTTTCTCTAATAAACAGCAACGATTCCAACAAAAAGTACGATTCAAGTACCTTGATTTGTGGCAAACACAGTATAGAATAGAAATATCCTACCTCATAAAGCATGTTTACTTCATAAATTTGAAAGTTTCTTACACCTGGGGATTGAGAGCTCTTGCACTCTACAGAAAGCATCCTTAAAGATCTGCCAGCTCTGTTCTGCTCCCTTGTCCCCGAGGATAGTTTCCCGGGGAGTGGTATTGACTAACTCCTTGGACAGCTGTAAGTTTGCTTTCCTAAAGTTCAGGGTCCTGACTTTACTCTTCACCTGCCCCATATCCCTCAGGACTGCAAACTCCACCAGTGCATGATCACTGCAGCCCAGGCTGCCTCCAATCTTGATGTTATCACGTGTTGCTGACCAGCAGCTTGGCATCCCTTCTGCAAGGGCTCTCTATTACCTGACATAGGAAGTTATCTTCCATGCACTCCAGGAGTCTCCTGGATTGCCTACAGCTTGCTGTGCTACTTTTCCAGCAGATGTCAGGGTGGCTGAAGTCCCCCAGGAGCAGAGCCTGCGAGCACGATGCCTCATGAGTGAGAAGGCTTCATCAATAGACTCCCCTTGATTGGGCAGCCTGCAGTAGACACCAACCACAACATTCCCTCTGTTGCCTTGGTCCTTGATTCTTACCCATAAGCTTTCAACCTTCTTGTGGCTATTCTTCAGAGATAGCTCTTCACACTCTATCCATTCCTTGAGGTAGAGGGCAATGCCTCTGCCCTTCCTTCCTCGCCTGTCCCTTCTGAACAGCCTGTAGCCATCAATTGCTGCACTCCAGTTGTGGGACTCATCCCAACAAGTTTCAGTAATGGCAAACAGGTCATATATTTCTAGCAGCATGGTGGCTTCCAACTCTTCCTGTTTGTTGCCCATGTTATGTGCATTGGTGTAGAGGCACTTCATCTGGGCTGTCGACCGTATCACCCTCTTAGAGGAGCACCCTTTAGTTCCTTTGAGGTCCTTCAGAGCACACTTTAGTTCCTTTGAGGTCCTTCCCTGGGGCAAGAGGCTGAGGGGCCTCCCTAGTACCCCATCCTTCTAACCTTGGTGCGTTATCCAACAGCTTGTCGTGCCTGATATTATCTCTCTTCCCCTTTGAGTCTAATTTAAAGCCCTCTCAATAAGCCCCGCTAGCTTGTGAGCAAAGACCCTCTTCCCCCTTTGAGAAAGTTTAATCCCATCTGATGCCAGCAAGTCAGGTGCCATGTAGGCCACCTCATTATCAAAAAAACTGAAATTGTGGTGGTGTCACCAGTCAAGGAGCTATGCGTTAACAGACTGGGACCATCTGTTTTTTCCTATGTCACTGCTTGCAACTGGAAGGAGGGAAGAAAAAATAACCTGTGCTCCAAATTCCCTTACCAACTGTTCCAAGGCCCTGAAGTCTCTTTTGATCGCTCTTAGACTATGAGTTGCAGCTTCATCTCCACCCACAAGGAAGAGCAGTAGTGGAAAATAGTCCAAGGGCCACAGGAGGCCGTACTGGTTTCCTAGTGATGATCTTAACCTGGGACCCAGGGAGGCAGCAGGCTTCCCTAAGAGAAGGGCCTGTCTGGTGTATGGGACCATTCAGTTCCCCTCAGAAGGGAGTTGCCTACAAATATAACTCATCTTTTCTTCCTCGTGAGGATGGTCGTGATGCGGGGGATAGGACTTTCTGACCTTGGCAGCACCTCTGGTGTCTACCTCATCCATGGACTGTCCTTCCACATCCAGAGCCTCATACTTGTTGTACAGAGGTACCTGGGGAGGTGAGGTGAGCAAGGAGGGGGTTTGCCTGCTGCCTCAAGCATGGACTTGCCTCCATTTGCTCCTTTCATTTAGGCTACTGCCTTCAGCCTGGCAGGGAGAGGATACAGGACCCCCTTGATCTTCGTTTTTTTCTGGTGGCTGTTCCTGCTTCTATCTCAGGGAGGGCAGTGCATGATTCCTTGAGTCGATTTCTTTCTCAGGCTCTCTGATGATCCTTAACCTTTCTACCTCCTCTTGTAGCTCTGCCACCAGGCTGAGCAGACCATCCACCTGGTCATACCTCACACAGCTGTTCTCCCTGCTGCCATCCCTTACCGGCGAGAGGCTCTGGCACTCCCTGCAGCCTGAGGCCTGGATGGCTGCGTGTCTCCGTGGGAGCTCTGTCTGGGTTGCCACATCCATTCTGGTGAGTGCAGAGGATATGGATTTCTGCTGGGTGGCTATCATAGTTAAGCATACTATATATACAAGTACCCAGCTAATTAAGGAAATTTTGGGGAAACATTTTAGCCTACTAATTTTAAACCACTATGGACAAGAAATTAGCTAATTAGCAGAAACTTATGACAGATTATAACAGACTTCTAATTTGTTTTCAGAAATCTACTCAAAATAAGAAATTACTCCTGGTTGTACTTCAGGTTCCCACTCTGCAAAATGGGGATTCTGTTGTTGACTCTGTCTAAAGCAGAACTCAATGGATGGAAAGCATGCCATCAGACACAGAACTAATAATATTAGTAATAACAGTTTATTGCTGCTATTATGATAATTATTATTTCAATTATGTCTATTAGATATGTGTTATTTATTATTCATTGTTAGTGGTTTTCATATTCTTTGTGGAACCAAGGTGGAACCAAGACCTAACCAGCTGTGTTTTAAGAATACCCACGAACTGTTCAGGCGACACCTGGCTGCAGTTAAATAAGATACAATAGTGTGTGTCCGCACCTTGGGTATGCTGGATAAAGTGCAGAGGACAAAGCTGGCACCCCTACCCTTTGAACCTGTAGGCTATGTATTCTCAGCTCCAAATGAAGCAAGTGACTCAAAACAGAGTAACCAAATTTGGGTCTGCGACAGAGGGGTGAAGTAGCCAGGGACACAGGCAGTTCCTGTCAATGGGCTCATGGCTGCCTGGTCTCAGTAATGGAAGAGTTTCTTTGTGAAGACCCAAGATGTGGAAGATTTTCTCTAAGCATGCATGCATGCGCATATCTACATTTGTGATGAAAAAAGGTATCCCGGTAATTTTTTGACAAATAAGGGCACAAGATTGGTTTCAGCATCAAGGAAAGAGCAAGCTCTCCTATAATGCTATTCCTCTGCTGAGATGTCACAGCCAGATTCTGTGATGTATTGTACTGAGAGACCTTGTACTTCAGCTTCATACTTTCCATTGTGAGGATTTTTAATGAGTTTGTTTTTTCTTTACACAGTTTACAACTTATTACATGAGCCTTAAAGAAACCTAGTATATTTGAGACCTCTGTTTCTTTACTAAACCAAATTGAAACTAGCCAATGAACTGAAAAGACACTAAGGATGGACTTCCATCTAAAAAGGACACATATACATAAACAAAACTATAAAGGTTTTTTTTTCAGGAAATCAAACAGGGAAAAATGACCTGGAGAAGCCTCTGTGGGCTGAAAGCTCCTTTTCCCTCCTCTCCTCAGTTACAGAAGAATCTACTAGGGTTATTCACCACTGCTCACTTCTCTTGGGGGGGGGAACCGGTGTATATTTGAATGAAAATAAAAATTTTTTTGTGTTAGAAGGACATCAGAAGAGAAGAACCTGATATGTTACAAATCTAGCTAATTATGAGTGCAATTTGTAGTTCTATGATAAAACAACAAAATGAAGCTTATCCTTCAAAATACAATGCCAAAAATCCACCTTCACACAGAATTTCATTCTTTCTAGTTTTAATAATATGGCCCATGCCACTTTCCTTTCTTGTTTTACTTACTACTTCTGTTGAAAGTGTTAATTTACTACAAATCTAATTGTTTACCTGTGGCTTCTTCTAGTGTGGCAACATCCAGTCTGGGGCTATAATTGCCGTAACCAGCAGCAGTAAAAGCACGAATCTGGAAAACATACACTGTTCCTGGTTTTAGGTTATTAATAGAAGCTGAAGTGGACTTGGTTTTCACTGTTGAATAGGTCCTCTCCCTTTGATCCTGGAAACAATAAGACAAAAGATTAAATGACATTTACAGGTCAGATTTTATCATGGTTGCACATCAGCAACTGACAGCCAGCCTTGGTAGTTTATTTCAATTTGTTGAACGCTTTTTTTCCCAACATAAAAAATAAAGTGTACTCTGTGGAGTATTACACAACATTGTCAATGCAATGAGGAGCTCTAAGTGTAACATAAAATTCAAATGGGATGATCATGTTGTTACTCATAAAACATCCAGACATAGAAGACAGACAAATGATTACTTCTTTGGCTCTGATTACATTTTGTGAAATTTTGATGAGAAAATAGCTTGATCACAGCTTTACAGGGGGATCTGTGGGGTCTAAACAGTTCAAGGACAGGAAAATCTGTTTTTTCATGGTCAGAACATCTTCCCTAGTTACCTTCCAACATCTTTAAAAAACACAATACTGACAACGTATTACTGGCTGGATTTCTCACCAAATTCTGAGGTCCTTAACTCAGTCTTCATTTAGGTTTTTTTTCCTCTAGCTTTTAGTCTTTTCCCAGGTTTTGACTCTATGGTACCAAGAAGAACCGAGGAAAAGCAGCTCAGTATGAACACCCCCCAAATTTAAAGCTGTAAGATTACAAACCCTATGAGTAATAACTCACTTTCAAATACTACAAAAGCTGTATCACAGATCATTACAGTATTCAAAAAGCTCTACTTATTCATCACATTTACTGATCCAGATTATCTTTCAGCATAGATATGTGCAGCCCTGTTGATTTTCAGTGGCAGATGTAACCCTGATTTGAAGGGCAGAAGGGATGAATTAACCAACCATCTGAATGCACCACATGACCAGAGAAGCATGAGCCATACGAGGCAGTGCTAATGAGATGGATACAGAGGGAAGGAATAAATCTGTAACTCATTTCAATAACACTTCACCAGCTAAAAATGATGGAGAACCTTCCCCTTCGCAGTCAGTAAAGCAGCAAAGGCTTTTGCTGAAATACAGGGTTAAATACAACATACATGACTTCTTTTCTAAGATTCAGTAATGGCTTCTCCTGGGTCTTGCCCAATCTGTCATTTGAGTAAGCCCGCTGGCTCAGCTAGCAACAGTTTTTCATATCTTCTCCAAAAGGGTTTAAATAATCTGTAAGTGAGGACCATGGTGGAATGTATGTTGGTATGTGAGACAGAACAGGAATGACTGTGAGATGAGAAACAAGTGTAAGGAAACCGTAAACAGTCAAGTTGAGGACTGCAAGCCACAGTGGAATTTCAGAGTTTGGGTTTTGATGCATTAATGAGGCTTATTTGAATTGTCAACAGTTCTTACATTCAAAATAAATAAATAACAAAGAAATAAAAACAACCTGTGTTAGAAATCTCACAGGACAGGCTTACTTGGGAGATTTCAGGCACGTTTCATTCCAGCCCTAGCCAGAAGTAAGAGGTGAAAAAACCACTTATCAGAATATTTCAGAACCACAAAAATGTTTGATTTAATTTGGTTCTAAAAGGAGCTGAAAGTTCAGATTTTTTTTTTCTTTTAAACTAATGGAACAAAACTTAAACTGCCTCATTCTGAGCAAGAAACTTATGAAGTACTTTTCAAGATGAACTGCATTATTTTGGAAGGAAGGCAAGCACTTAAGTAATTGTGTTGAAATCGTCTCACCGAATTAAAGGTATATAGTTCAGTTTATCTGTGATTGTTCGTAGGTTGAGTTGCTTATTCTCTTTTACTAGTTTCACTGTAGTAAGTGTTGTACTGACAGGTTTCCTTACATTACAAAAGAAGTTTAACATCAGTTCTTGTCTTTGCAAACACAGGAAACTGACAGTGAAATTCTGCTGCTTACATAAAGTAACATGAATATACAGGGACAATAATAAAAGTCACATTCTAGAAGTTATCATTTTATGAAAAGTCTAGTATCTTGAGCATTTTTCTGTCATTTTCCACTAACTATTTTAATTATTTATTTTATTGTAACAGATTAGAAATTACTCTGCATATTAAAAAAAAAATTTTTTTTTGGTTGGTAGTTTGTTTTTTTAAGTTTTTGTGTGTGTGTGTAGAAAAGTTTTCCCTTTGGTAAATACATAAGCTTTTTTTTTTGATGTATGGACTTTATTTGTGTGTGTGTACACACACACATGCTTGAAAAACAAACATTATCTGCTAAAATTAGTAAAATTCCCTCAAAAGAACTGTTTAGCTATCTGTACATATCTGGTAAATTTTCTTACAAGATTCATTTAAGTGAACAACTTAAACTGGAGTTAGCATCAACAAATAAACATTTTATTCCCCTCCCAAATTATATAAAGAAGTTTTGATAAGTATATTTGTGTAATTCAGCACTGAAAATTAGATGTGAGACTTGATTTTAGATCTAATCTGGTCTGAATTTACCTAATTCTATGTTACCTAGTAAGCTGGCATGTTCTTTTTGACATAGAGGTGCTTTTTCCTTGTTTGCAGAGATTAAATGTCTTCACGAGTGTTCACAAAGGACCTCCTTTGTTCATTTCTTTGCATTTTAATTCTTTCTTTTTTCACCCGGTATGTTTTATAAAAATTAGCAATATGTTATGTGCTACAGTAAATTTCCTAAGGAATCTGAAGGATCCACGCTTAGTCTAGGTCCCATAACAAACACGTAGCTGCACAACCTGTCTTCACTCTGCTTTCATCCATCTTACAGTTCCATGTGGCCCTGCTTATAAGCTTGTCAGAATTTTTTTATTTGGGAGTGCTTCAAAGTTATCATGAATGAAGTCCTAGACAGACTGAAATGGATGGCAAAACTCTGACTGACATCAATAAGATTGCAATTTCGCTCCACCAGAAACGGAGATCACTTCACCTACTATTGAAAAGCAGCCCTCAATATCGTGTTGAGAGAAGTGAAAAACAAATCTCACAATGCTGGGACTTTTTAAAAGGACAAATAAGGAATATTTATCATCTGAAGCTGTAGGAAGTCCTTTGGAAGTTTTCAAACATCAAGCTGAAGTGGCCCAGCTCATAAGGAAATACCAAATGCAGTCAAGAGCTGTATTTGATAGATCATCTCAAGACTGGAATTACAGTGACACAAAAGGAAATGAAACAAGCTTTATACACAATGCAGAATAGACAGGAAAATGGCAGATATCATGGTACAATATGCAAGCCCAACTTCACAATAAAATAAAAAAAGTAGAATAAAAGGCAGATTTCGAGTGGATATTTAATTTTTAGGATACTAAAATACAATATATGGGACATATGATAGCAATAAGAATTGCAGGGATTCATTAGTCATTAAAAATGACTAAAAAACACCATGACTTTGAAGAGACAGGATAGTTGATAGCTGATAGCTTTAACATTTTTCCACAACACAGCAAGCCAACATGAAGCAAACAGCACACTGTTGTACATTACAGATAATCTTAGCACTTACTTTCTCATAATACTTGATTTCATATTCAGTAATGACTCCATTGGGATGTTCTGGTTCCTGCCAGGAAAGCTCCACACTCCTCTGCAGCACTCTCTCTTTCATTACTCCACTAACTTGCGAGGGAGCTGTTTGGACAAGACGTGTCAATAAATAAAAAGCAAATTTGTTGGATGCCTAAAATCAAATGTCATTACTGATCCACCCCATGCTGAGCCACTTTCATTAAGGTAAAAGAAAGCACCTTTTCACAGCCCACAATTCAAAGCTAATGAATATTCAAGCAGGACCCTATTATTGTTCATAAACTTAGAATGGAAATCGAATTAAAGTGCAAACAGCAAAAAGTGTTATTGTTCAAGTTAGTGTGAACCTGAGATTGATGGGATAGGAATAACAAGCAAATTAATTCTGATTGAGATAGCAAGGTAGATTTTTAGACTGATGTGCAGTAAATTAACAGTCTAAATATTTGTTGCATGTGTTTCTGAAATGCACATAAAAAGAAAAATAATGTTTTAGAAACAAAATCACGTTTTAGGCTGATTTCATATAACTAATTCCATTTCTGCTTAAAAAATAATCTGTCTCACTATCTGACTACAGCATGACTTGGTGATGAAATCAACTTTGTTAAGAGACTAAACCCCCTCTTTTTCATTAGTTCAAATCTTTCCAGGACATTCTCTCTTTAGGGCTGAAGTTTCCATATTTGGTCTTGGCATTTTTTGAAAGCATGATACAATTTAAGAAGTAGATCTTATGAAATAAAGCTAAAACTATGGCATTGGAACTGTGCAGAACTTGATTGTGTTCTCTTTCAATTCAGTGGAAATAATTCAAGGATGTAACACTGCTCATGCAAAAGATAAATAGAGAAAGGACTTGATCCTCAGCCCCCTGCTGTTAAAAGCAAGATGACGTTTATGTGTACAGAAACCTGGTCGTATGCAGAAAGCAGATTCAGACACAGGAAAGGAAATGAAAATTACAGATAAATTTATTTATATCTGTTTGTTTGAACAAAAAAATCTGAAAAATGTAATTTTTTTTCTAGGTGAAAAGAAGAAAAACCTTATTTCAGAACTGTATATAAAGCTTTTGCTATCTAAAATTAGGTACAGTCTTCAGATAAAGCAGGATTCTTATACCAGGTAACAAACAGGTGAACTTTGCTTTCTCTTTTGCTATTCACCTTGAGTCTAATTAGAACAGTTCCTATTCTAGGAACTAGTGAGTTAGCAAACTCACTTTCCTTTATTTAAAGAACATAAAAAGAAAACATACAGAATGCATGCTCCTGTAGCATTGAGGATAAAAATCTAATTGGAAAGTAAAAAGATCTACAGAAAAATCAAGACAATAATCCTCTAAAAAACTTAAAACTTGGTTGTTAACTTCTTATTTTTATTGTGAATTTTCTAGCCATTTTTATTATGACATGTATATTAATGTAGGTTTTTAAATTAAATTTATTTACATTTCATTAGAGGTTCCAAGAGTCAATGAAAGTTAAGGATTGAGCCATGCATGATAATTTTCACTATGAACTATTATGTTGCCTATAATCAATATAATCAAAGTTGAAGACCCCTTAGTGTAGTTTGCCTAACTGATAAAATCACAATAGTGTATCCTGCAAACACCATGGGTTGATACGCCATTCCAAAGCCAGGATCCCTCTCACTCGTCTTGCATTCTCTTTGTAAAAGCTTAGAGTATTTTCACTCTCTAATTAGGGAAATATATTCTTTTTTGTAGCTAAGAATCTGGAATGCAGCAAACTAATTTACTCTGTCTAGTTTTCTTTGCCATGATTAACTAGTTGTCTTCTTTGTCTAAATGAGTACCACAGCATCCTGGCTGAATTTCAGAGAGGTCATTATGCTTCATGTATAATGTTCTATCTCATCCAGATAAATGTTTTTGAATTGCTAATTTTATATTTTTAGATGTCTAAAATTGTTAATGTTCATACTTATCATGAAACAATTTTATATTACCTAGGTCACTGGAATCTGTTCTCAACATTTGATGCCTTTTGTTTCAGCTTATCAAATGTTTTCATTCCGTTGATCATAGAATTCATTTTTTTTAAGCAGTGAAGCAAAATGAACTTGTTTCCTCTGTTATTAGTTAACTCTGCATACATAGGGAAGGAACAGCAATGCAGAGAAGGAGGAACACAGAAGGGGGAAGATTTTATTCAGGAAAGTGAAACATACTATGTGAGATTCCTACTTAACATCTATACAAAGTGCACCACAAACAAGCATATTCCATTCTTAAGGAATTTCCATTCAAAACAAAATCTCAGTGGTTTATCAACATTGCATGACAGTATTCAAAATTCTTAAATAAATGCTATCTTAAATATATTTCCTGTCAATTAATATCCTTTTAATTCAAGAACGGTCAGATTAAAAGCTGGCTTTGTTTTTTTCTTTTTTTTTATTGTGTTTTGGCCTTTTCCCTCCTCCTAACTAAAAATTGTTGTGCTACTTTTCATTGGTAGAAGCAGCACATCGGGAAGAAGAGAAAGTCCAACCCTGAACCCCATATATGTCGGTAGCTCTGAAGACAATTATGTTGTGCATAATTCCCATACCACATGATATTCCACCACTGCATTTTAATGCCGTAAGTTACCTAAGCTTATTTTGTGTCCCCACGTTTGTTGGGTGAAGAAGGGAATAATGAAATTCGTTGAAGCCAGAATATCCTCCTCTGGCAGGGTACACCAGTCTGTTGCTAAGGCAAGGAAATATCTGTAAATTAGAGCAACCACATAAGCCAGTCTATTGACATTAGAGGCTAGATGTACACGCTATCTTTGTCCTGCCTTTTGGGTTGCATTTCTTGATCTGTGCTTAATGAGAGTGTACAGGTCAGAAGCATTTAATTCTTTATTCTAGTAAAATAATTTCCTCCGTATTCTCTCTGTGCCTTTCTTACAGACTGTTCTGCATTCATGTTTTATTTGCTCTGGCTTCCTGACACCTGATTTTAAACCTTTAGCCGTTTGCTCATTGCCAGCCCTTATTAATTAATTAACAACCTATTTATGGTTTTGAAACAACTAAGTTTGAGCAAGTTTGAAAATGAGTTAAAGCATACAAATCATCCCTAAATACAAGATAAAATATGGTATTAAATCACAAAAAATATAACTCTATAAAAACAATTAAACATGATAGTTTTTGTTTTTATTGGTAGCTAAACTACTACTACTACTACTAAAACTGTTTCAGGTATTTTTTTCATTTAGTAATCCAGCTCTTGCCACTGCACCTATAACAGAGTTGTTCGTGATGAAGACACTTTTTACAGCATTTCTAGACAACTAAGTACCCAGTCCTGAATGACTTGAGCATGAATAATCCCTACTGTATCACTTCAGGTTACAAAGAAGCATCACTTGTCAGAATCATTGTTTCCATAATATATTACACTGGGGGATACAGCCTTTCAAAACACCATTTGCTATCAACTTTCTTTCTGATATACCTCGTCTCTTCTTTTTCTCCATCCTGCTGACACAACATCCAATGCATCAAACGCACACAGCCTCTCAGGGCTAACAGGCAGATGTACCTACACATACTGCATAAGAATGTACTCCGAGAATGACAGGCCCTCAGTACACTCATTCACCTTTTTTAAATGCTTCAAATATACCATTCAGCAAAAGGAAAAATTGATTTTTCACCAGGTTTCAACATCACAGCCACAGAGAAATATAACTCTGCTGGGCTTTACTGATAAAGCCCTCAAGTTATATAGATTTCAAGCTGGTCATCATTTTCAGATCAAGTTATAGAAAAAGTTAAAACTGAGGTGTCAAAAAGAGCAGGATATTCCAAGGAAATATTCTGCTCCAGAGAGAATATTGCATCTGGTAGACTGATGTGTTACATCTATACTGCTAAGCCAAGCATATGGTGTATTATTAATACGTGCAAATATTTATGTACAGAAAACTGTACTGAATGTTTTAGAAGGCATTGCTTTTAGTCTAGTGTCCTCTGAAAATGTTATAACATAATATTGCTCATGCCTTTAACCTCTGTGCTTAGCTAGTCTCTAGTTCTCATGCCTAACATATCCCATGATCCAGTGTACTTTCCAAAAGACAGACAGATGCAAAATTAAATCTTTTGCATTTTGTATCAGAAAATAAAACAAAACAAGTACAAAATACTAAAACAAAACAATAAAAACTGAAAAGTGAAAACATGTGAAGCTAGACTTTCACATATAAGAGGAACTAGGTATAATGCACCAATTGCTAGCACAAAATGAACTGTAACACCTTTTTATTGAAAAAAAGATAACTCAGCAAAAGAAACATACCTAGCCATTTCTCTGAGATTTCCTAAAGTTCTGCATCTTGAATGTGTCCCAGCTCCATCAACAGCAACAGTCATGGAGACCTTTAATTTGATACTTTTAAAAAAGTCTCTCTAGAAGCAGCATTCTGGGTGTTTAGTAGTTCATGTGTTTAAAACTAATTATTAAAAATCCTCAGGTTTCAATCCTGCAGTCCCACTTCATGTAGAAAGTTTCACAAACGAACATCAGTAAATGCTCCTAGCACAGGACCAAACTCCCTATCAATAAATGCTACCAAATCTATGTTTGCAACTCATTTCATCATTTGTTATACAAAGACTAATGAATGAAGGGGCTATCAGCCTTCCTTGACTATTTTTTATATTTCTTTATTTTATAATAGCAATAATGTGCTTAAGACAATCTGAGCTTTGCCTTGTACTTGCTGAAATCAACAGTAACATTTTCATAGCATGGGACCCTTACAGCACTTCTCAAAGGACAAAAACTCCTGGCTTTTGGCCTCTTTCCTTTTCATATCGCAAAGATATGCAGCAATCACTCAAACCACTTTTTTCATGCAGCAGCAAAAAGATCAATTTTTACATCCCCGTAAAACTGTATCTTAGGGCCCGATGTAAGTTTTACATTGCATGAAGCATTAACACCATTTTTCTGCAACAATGTTCTACAGCAGCGGGGGGGTGTTTTGAGTATTCAGCCTGAAGTGGACATTGCTAACAGATGCAAACAATGGAAAAACAGAGATATCAGCATCCCAATGATTATAACCTAC